CCAGATTGCTTCTCCTGGGGCAAGAAGGACTCTAGACACAGCCCCTGTGCCCCATGGCCTCTCTGTAGGATGGTGAAAGCATTGTTAAGAGGCTGCAGTGAGTCCAGAATTGTGAAGAGCTGGTGCAGTGGCTCAGGCCTGTGATCCCAGCACTTTGGGAGGCCAAGGTAGGCAGATCACCTGAGGTCAGGAGCTCGAGACCAGCCTGGCCAACATGGTGAAATCCCGTCTCTACTAAAAACACAACAATTGGCCAGGCGTGGTGGCGGGTGCCTGTAGTCCCAGCTACTCGGGAGATGAGACTCTGTCTCAAAACAAAATAATATCTGTAATCCCAGCCCTTTGGGAAGCCGAGGTGGGTGGATTGCCTGAGCTTGGGAGTTCGAGACCAGCCTGGGCAATACGGCAAAACCCCATCTCTACTAAAATACAAAAATTCGTTGGCGTGGTGGTGCACGCCTGTAGTCCCAGCTACTTGGGAGGCTGAGGTGGGAGAATCACTTAAACTTGGGAGGTGGCACCATTGCACTCCAGTAGCTGAGATGGCACCAGTGCACTCCAGCCTTCGTGACAGAGTGAGACTCCATCTCAAAAAAAAATACAAATAAAACAATTGACTTGTTGCATCTTTACAGCAATCCATAGTCTTGATGCTAATCCTTACATGATTCTCACTTTACAGGTGAGAAAATCAGGTTAAGTGACTTGCCCAAGGTCACACAACAGGAAAATTTCAGAGTCAGGATTGGAACCTAGTAGTGGCAGTCACTGCTTCCTAAGCCCTTGGGTGCCAGCACTCTGTCCCTGTTTATGTGGCATTCTTTTTCGTTTTCTTTTTTTTGATATGGAGTTTGACTCTTGTTGCCCAGGCTGGAGTGCAATGGTGTGATCTCAGCTCACTGCAACCTCTGCCTCCTGGGTTCAAGTAATTCTTCTGCCTCAGCCTTCCAAGTGGCTGGGATTACAGGCATGTGCAACCATGCCTGGCTAATTTTGTAATTTTAGTGGAGATAGGGGTTTCACCGTGTTGTCCAGGCTGGTCTTGAACCTCTGACCTCAGGTGTTCTCCCCTCCTTGGCCTCCCAAAGTGCTGGGATTACAGGTGTGAGCCACCACACCTGGCCAGGATGGTGTTATTTATCCTCATATTGTAACTGAAGGTGCTGAGGCTCAGAGAGGCAGGTGATTTTCCTGATGGTGCCCAGCATGAGCTCGTGAAGTCAGCATTCAGGACTTGCTTCTGTAGCAGCTCTGACTGGGGCTTCCTGGCCTCTCTCTGCATATATCCACTAACCAGGTGCTCTCACCTTCCAAGGCTCTCATTGCTTGAGCTGTTGGGAGGCTTTCCCTTAGGCTGCTTCCTGGGTGTGATCCCCAACCCCACCACAAAGTAACTCCTTGATTGCTGGAGCCAGATTGCTTCTCCTGGGGCAAGAAGCACCATAGACACTTAGCTCCTGTGCACCATGGCCTCCCTGTAGGATACTGGACATGTTGTTATGAGGCTTTAGGAAAGTGCTGGAATCTGTCCCCAGTCAGTGCTGTAGGTCCCAGGGAGCTTGTAGGGTCAGCCACAGTGGTTCACCACCCCATCCTTCCCTGCACATAGCTTCTTGCCTTTTCTTGTTCTCAGTCTGCTTAAGACAATCAGTGTTCCTTCCATGGGTCAGAGGCCAGTCCTGGTCCATCTGCAGAGAAGGATTGAATTGACTATCACCAACCTGTCTTGGACAACCACTCCTATGGATGACAGCAGGACCTTTAGCCCTGGCTTGGCAATGATGGAAACTCCAGATGAGATCTAAGTTCCGGAAGTTGAGTTTTTGAGCCTGAATAACTTGTGGTTTCAGAGGCCAGCTCCAGATATACCCTCTTTCTCACCCTCTTCCTGTTGCTAACACAAGGCTGAGTCTGAGCTGTCAAGAATGGAAAAGAAGAAATCAGAGGCTTTCAGCTAGGGATGCTGGCGGATGCCTGTGGTCCCCGTTACGCAGGAGGCTGAGGTGGGAGGATTGCTTGAGCCTGGGAGGTCGAGGCTGCAGTGAGCCATCATTGCACCATTGCACTCCAGCCTGGGCGACACAGTGAGACCTCAGATACTTAAAGACAAAGAAGGTGGGGACACAAAACTTCCTTGGGTTTCTTAGTGTGCTGGTGAAGAACACCAGCTTCCTGAGACTTTTCATATACCATGAGAATTATACCTGTAGTCATTTACACAGGTAATTGCTCTTATCCAAAAGAATAATATAACTTTTTGCTGGGCACGGTGGCTCACACCTGTAATCCCAGAACTTTGGGAGACCGAGGCAGGTGGTTCACCTTAGGTCAGGAGTTCAAGACCAGCCTGGGCAACATGGTGAAACCCCTGTCTCTATGAAAAATACAAAAATTAGCTGGTGTGGTGGCGTGTGCCTGTAATTCCAGCTACTCAGGAGGCTGAGGCCGGAGAATCACTTGAACCCGGGA